TGCTATGCTAATCGAATGGACTACCCCCACCATCAGCATTAGAAGTTGGTAGATATAGTTGGGACTTTCAAAACTTGCATAGTCAGAACGCCTACTTTTACTCGCGACAGGCGTTGTAGGGAATATCGTAAACATAGAAAAGAGATGTCAGGTACGAATTGCAGCGGACACTAATAAAAAAAAGGAGTAACATTGCACAAATTAACGTGTAACAGAAAGAGATGCAGACAAGCAGAATTTGAGCATGTTGCCAGTATCGGACTTTAAAGAAAGTTCAACATTCTTGGGAATTAAGGAAAGCAAATACACTTGTCTAAAGACATTATTCCAACTAGCTGTTATAAAGCCGACCTTGGTATTTTAAGCAACCTAAACAATCTCTAACAGCTGCACCACTTAGTATTATTCGATTATCTCTTTTAACTTTGTCTGTACTGAATAAAATAATTCGAAGTAGTCTCTATTCTGTCGAAACTGCCAGACGCGGATCGCGATTTCGATCTTTTTGGATCTTATCAGCGCAACGCAGGCGGCTCCGACAGAACACAGACCAAATTTTACCTGCTGTCTTAACAGCGCGTTTTAGAAAACACCACAAATGGCGCGGTAAACGCCATCTGTAGTACGATGCTACATTACAGACCAATTTTTACCTGCTGTCTTAACAGCGCGTTTTAGAAAACACCACAAATGGCGCGGTAAACGCCATCTGTAGTACGATGCTACATTTTAGGATTCTGTATGCTCCAACAAGATCCATTTAAATATATGGATATCTACTTGCTGAAATGTACTACTTTACTCATGAAGCATTTCCTATCTTAACAAAAGCGTGTTCAAAATGCAGCAAATTACTACAGCTCCATTCTCACATATAATCTATTGTAGAGTTTGCCAGTTTTGATCGTCTCAACTATATGAAACATGCAGAGGAACTTATCATGTTGAGGCACCTTTATATTTCTCTTTGCAGCGGACATTAAGAAGATGAAAAACTACTGCATGCGGTATTTTTAAAATTTAAAAGTTAGATCAGGAGGTGATGGTTCACAATTTGTCTAAAACTTCATAACGGAGCAACCAATTTTCATAACAGAATTACAGAGCAAGCGTGTGGGAAACGCCGTTGTACTCCAAACTACCCGTTGTCACCTTCTAACAGTAAAATATTGTTCATTTTTATGTGCGGTACTTTCTGAAATCACCCTAAAGAATTCTTGGCGAAATAGAATACGTAAAAGCGCATTCTAACTAATATATTGTTGTATACTTTATATTAAGAGTAGATTATATAATAAATCATTCACAGACAGTAATTGCTACCCCCACTATCGTTAGATAAGATTTTTGTATAAAAGGGGATGCTCTTTCTAAATAGTTTCAGTTTGTACTTTTAGTTCTTAACCTACCTTAACAAGTAGAACTCAGTAAATGTTTGTCGTATTACAAGGCGACTTAATTAGTGTTTCTCTAGTTATTCGTTAGTTGACATTATTATCATTAGGTTCATATCGAGATGACAATAGTCATCAGTCGGTGAACGGAACATTCTTCGGCAATTATTGTGTGAAGGTGCAATCCATTTGGAAAAGTGTCTATTACTGCTTGAACATTAAAAGTTCATTTTCACGCGACACAATAATTGAAAGTGTGAATAGGTAATCCATTGATCACCAATAATAATTACTTTACTCTTTCTAACAAGAGTCCGGAGTCTCATTTAAAACTGCTCTGGTGTCAGAAGTTAGACAAGGACACTCAATTATTGTTTGGAGATCAGGACACCAACAATATATTAATCAAAAAAATGAGCACAATAGTGATGATAAAGCTGCTGATTTTATACGTATGTACCCATGCTCAACACTCGCACAATTTAATGTATCTGCCTACAAATTGGACTATTACTATTGAAATTAATTACATTTAAGAATAACCAATCAAACAAATTGGCATAAACAATATATCATTAAAGAAGGTAGGTATAATGCCTAATTACTAATTGCCTTTATTAGGCTCAGGTGTATGAGACCGAATTTACATAACAAACAAATAATTATCCGAAGGGTGGGGGGGGATTTACGTACCTCTGCGCGGTCATTAAGGCATTTTGGACCGAGTTTACAATAACCCATCCAATGTCTAATGTGTTTAAAATGATATATAAATAGTAGCTGACTTATATCTACGAGGGTTATTCAATAATGAAATAAACAAATTTGTATAATTAAGCGTAAAGTAAAACAAGTTTGATACTTTTTGGACTACAAGTTCACATCACTGGAATGATGCCTGGAGATTGGTTGCTAAAAATTATTTTGTTCATAATTTCATGATGAATCTGCTTTTCTACGACCTATCGCATGATGAATCTTGAATTCACCCTTTTTAACCTAAATCCGAAAGATAAAGAAGATCAAATCAAGAAAATCAGTTAACCTGTTAAGAAAACAATCAGAATTCTAACATTAACAAGAAAATAGTAGTGACCATGTTTTGGGAAAGGTACTAAAGGTCCATTTCTTTGAGACTTTTTGTGAAGAGACTAAACATATTTGGCCGACATGCTTCTAAATAAAATAAAGTTAGAGATGTAAGAAAACGTCGTAGATGTCAACGAAAAGACTATATTTACATTCAGCCTTACACTGCTCTGGGAGAATCTACCTCAACCCCATATAACTCAGATACGGCTCTATCAGATTTCTACTTCTTTGTTCTACTCACCGAGCGGTATGGCCTAGAGGTTTAGTCCTTTGCTTAGCATTCGGGAGGACGCCGGTTCGATTCCGGGTCTGTCTGCCTTGGTCCAAGTTTTTCTGTGGTTTCCTTGGATCACTTAGGCAATGCTGAGGCAGTAATATTCCACAGATAATCTTTTATTCTCTTGTTTTCATTTCTTCCGTCTCATCTTTCTCACCTCAACCACCACCCACCCATTCCCACGATTCCTGAAAGCAGGCCGAAGAGGGCCTTCCACCTTACCTTCCGGCGTAGTCCGGAGGGACTGCCCGCCCACCAGCATTATTGGCTGGTGGGAATGAAACACCCAAAAGTTTTTTAAAAGTTTTTTGTTCTACTCAATAGCATGGGCGTTACTAGGAATTAAGAACCACGAAGAGGTCGAGACTTCGTGGGAAACATAGATAATGTTGAGAAGTACAAAATGTCAAATGCTTGTTATAAAAATATATTGTTTGTATTTTTAGATTGATTTTCTCTTTAATTTTATTAAATGACTCTGGTGTTAGTATTTCATTTCCAACGATTTTACACACCGAATAACAGACATGAAAAACCACATTAATTACACACATGACGAGCAAAAAGAATGCTCGACATGCCATTTGTCATACAAAGAAATGTTGAATGTACAACAATAGATACCATTAAAAAATATTGTTACAATTGAAGTGGCCTGCAGGCAACATTTTAATCAAAAAATTAAAAACGGAACCAGTTAACAATGTATGCCTTGATTTGACAATTGAATCGGCATGCCGCATATGGTTGCAATATCTTTTGTTTTGTTATCGTAAATAGTGACTCAATTTATGTACTTGGCGATTTCAATGACAGTAATAATATAGAATATGCATCCAGGATGGTGTTTTACCCTAGTAATAAAATGAGGATAATGAGAGAATGTAGACGCAATTTTATGGTCTATCAGTAATTGTTTATCAAAGTTGTAATCGAGATACGAAATTATTTTAGGTACATAACACAATACAACAAGAAACTCTTCAGTTTAAAAATTAAAATAGGCTTTTAAAACTGGCAGAAGAAGGCATTGCTTCCATATTGTATAGACTCAAAAGTTAATGTTATGCATATCGGTAATTTTAGGGGTTAAGAATGTAAAAATCAACGAACTTAAAGAGTCTCTTATTACCACGTAATCCAAGTGCAGAATACTCTAAACTATCTCCGCAATAAATTATATAAACAAACATACTAATCATCAAGCGAAAAGCGCATATTTTTTACCTGCTTATTTGTAGTGCAGTAATAGATAAACTATGGCGGTTCTCTCTCAAAATTTCAAGGCCATTTTCCATTTAGCGCGCTGTTGAGCCAAATTGTAACCTGAAATATATATATTTGTTGGTAATTACAGTTTGTATTGAACACAAATTTAAAATTGTAACTTTAATTCTAATCAAAAATGGGTAACAGAAAGTAATTAAAAAAAATATCAATATACCTATTTTAATATTTAATATGTTTAGTTTGTTATTTACATGTATTTTCTTATGAACGTTCAGTTTTATCCTCTCCATGCCTACTCTGACGTCACGACTGTCAGTTTTTTCAGTCATCTTCGATAGCTGTTACCGTCAGCCAGGACTTTGCCACTTGCCTCGGTTCTCCGCTCCTTCTGTGGCTGCTCCGCCTTTTAAGGCCCCCTTCATCTGTTGCTTCTTGATCATATGGTACTCCCTTTATCTTCATTAGGTGGTGCTCTATCTAATGATTTCAATAGACGATAGAGACCTTACGAGTCGGAGCACCCGTAGAAGTAGCGGAGTACACTTGGCAAGTCGCGAAACCCTGGTTCATGATGATAAAGATAGTGAAGGCTGGCATCAGCCGACAGCTGTCACATCAAAGTAATCGTGGACAGGCTAATATTGAACGAAAATGACGGAAATGAACCTTCTTAGTAAAGTACATGGGATTTTGAGGCCAACAAGCATAGCTGATCTACGCACAATATAGGTTTAATTAGACAAATATTACCTGGCGGGAGTGAAACACAATACCTAATGCTTTTTTATCTATACTTTATGGTGTGCTTATGATAGTGTCGACAATAGCTCATCATGAACTCATGAACGAATCTATAGTATTTAACCGATAAAAATTCCTATACAATTGAAATTTGTCAAATAACAAATATTTGCTTGACGCCTTATAAATGTTTCGGTTTACAAATATTTTTAGAAAGAGACCATGCAGATATTTAGTAAAATAAATGTCTTCTTCTTGATTTTCAGGTTATTTCAGGGATTTCCGTATTCTTCATATGTGTATCGGTAGTGTCGTTCTGTTTAAAGACACACCCTGGTTTAAGGGTAAGATGCCAGTCAATAGACTTTACAAATACAACGCAAAAGTGTACAGAACCGCTACCACTTTTCTTCGCAGTTGAACATCTATGTAACGCCTGGTTTACTCTCGAATTGACAGTAAGATTTTTGGTAAGTGTTTAAATATATTGTTCATATAAGTAGAGGTAGTTCAGCATCGCACGAAACTTGACCTTGGGATTGGCAATGACAAAACTCCGCTTATTAAGTAATTTCTACATTTCTACCTATTAAAAACATTGACCGTTACTATTTACGGCTTACATGGAGCTGTATTCACATGCTTAATGGTCGAGTCAATGTTTTCGTAATGCAAAATAAGACCCGCCTCTGGCGCAAGTGGAAGCGCTCATGACATTTTGAACTAGCTCTACCTATACTTGACTATTATTGATCCCACACTATCCTACTTTTGTGTATAGATAACTACTCTGAAAAAAAATATTCCTTTATTTAAATTCATTATTTATAAATAAAATTCATTAAAAAATACCACAAAAACGTCATCTGTAGTACGCCATCTGTAGTACAATGCTACATTTTTATTATTAAAAAAGCACTGTTAAGACAGCAGGTAAAAGTTAGTCTGTATCCTGTCGGAGCTAGCTGCGACGCGCTGATGAGATCCAAAAAGATCGAAATCGCGATCCGCGTCTGGCAGTTTCGACAGAATACAGACCACTTTGAATTATTTTAAAATTCATTAACTTCAGAGCAATTACAGTCAGTTTAAATGCAAATGTTTAAGCTTTAAAAGGAAAGAACACTAAGAACCTTGAAACGAATAGATTTATCTTAAATGTGGATAGCAAATTAGTGCTTTTCAGAGACCAAAGAATTTTTTCCGGGAGGCGTTAGAAGTACTAGAACGTCAATGGCCAAAAGTATTGACCATAATGGACACAATGTTGAAAAATAAATATTCGTAAATTTGTTATTGTAAATAGGCCAGGGGTGGAGAAAATGGAGCAGCCTTCGTATCTATAATTGTAAAAATTGTAGAGCTCATTATGTAAACCACTGACTTGTTTTATGTCTTTTGCAGGTTTCTCCTAACACATTGGAATTTATGAAGTCTCCGGTGAATATAATCGATTTTGTTGCAACGCTGAGTTTCTACGTGGATATCGGAGTGAACATAGAAGAAAAGCCAGATCTGCTCGAATTCTTCAGCATAATTCGAATACTGCGCCTTTTCAAGCTAACAAGACACTCGCCAGGTCTAAAAATTCTAGTACATACCTTCAAAGCATCAGCCAAAGAGCTGACACTTTTGGTATTCTTTCTCGTCTTGGGAATCGTCATCTTTGCTTGTCTCGTTTATTACGCGGAGAAGTCACAGGTGAGCAGCTCTGCACTTCCTGTTTACGTTTTTCCCCTTTTAGCAATCCGAAGTCGAAAACACAACGTCGTTTTATATACACAAAGAAAGGGCTTTATAAAGGTTTGATTTCGGTTTTATAAGTTTTTGTTTACGTAAAAGGGAGTAAATATAATGTCGAAAAAGCTACGACTGTTTCCTTTAACGTTGAGAAATCGATTGCCCGTTGAGTGGCCCTTTCTCAAAATTAGACCAATTCAGCCATGTTCATTTGTTCGTAAGCGCGATCTTAAAAATTTAACGAAATATAACCTACCTACAGAAATGATAAAGAGATAATCAACTTCATTTAAATAAGGTTAAAGGGTCAAGGCAAATGTTAAATAAAATGAGATCGACATAATGTAGTGGCGGAGTTGTTTGTGATTCTTTTTATTGTGAAGCCTTTTGAATCGGTTCTTTCCTCGCTTTATTGTCGGGTGTTCGGGAGTCCCGCCCTATGCGAGTTTCTGTATCGAGGCTCTTACTTTAAGGGTATTTTTCAATAAAGTAGAAGATGAGAGCAGACAAACTGAAACGGAAGCGCAATTAATTTCTCTCCGCTTCCGGAACTCAGAGAGTGCCGGTTCCACTGCATTAACATAGGCGATAATGAAATTTTCTCGAATACTAGGTCGAACTCGAACAGACGCGGTCAGTTTTCTTTTATTTAAATTACTGAATTGAAATCATTTGAAACACATTTCGTTGAAGAATTTACTGTACGTTGAATATTTTGAGATTAATTGACTAATCCTTTAGTTAAACATCATTCATTGGTGTTCATATCGTTCTCATCATATTGTATTCATTTTTTTATTAACGAATACCTCAGAAGAGCAAGATGGATTGATAGTAGGTTACACTCAGAAACATTTCCTGAAATAATCATCATCATAAGATCATCAGTCCTAAGACTGATTGGACATGCGCCTCTATTTTTTCCTATCCTGACCTGATCTTCGCATTTCCCTAAAACTAGAACAACCCACATTCTTAACTATTTACTTAACAGTAATCTAATCTAGGTCTATCTCTACTCCTCTTAACTCCTGTTTCTTCCTCTAATATGTCCCTGACTAGGCCTTCATGTCTGAGAAGGTGTTCTACCAACCTATCTCACCTATTTCTTATCGACATCCATGGAGTCTTATGGTCTCCTATTCTTTCTAATATCTGTTCACTTCTAACCTTCTCTATCCACGGTATCCTCATCATTCGCCTGTATCACCACATTTCGAACGTTTCTACACTTTTCTTTTCCGCCGCGTCCACCATCCATGTTTCGCACCCGTACAGCGCCGTGCTCCAAACAATCTTTTTCGAATTTCTAAATTAACCGTTCGCGAGCACTTTTCCTACTTCTCGGTAATATGAAACGAAGAACGCAACAAAGTACTATCGCTTAGATACCATTTTGCTCGCATTACTAATGAGCTGTATCCATGAATTAATAAAATGACTCCGGATACGGATTTACAAAGGATTAGGAAACTGCCTTTGCATACACAAGGAGTACTTGAATACTGTAACAGGATATGTACTAAAGTTGTGCAAGACAGAAATGCGTGCAGGGCAGTAATGTTTCGTTCGCCATTTTAAACTCGTCAAAATTTATAAAACATAAAAGCATTAATAAATATATATACAATTTCCGATAGAAAATGTAATGATGTTGGACTTAATAGAATAAAATCATGAAGAATATAAGAACAAAGGCTTTCACGGCCGGAATCGACAGTAGAATAAAGGGCCCTCAAGAGGAAGAAAGGTTGCTATTCAATTTAAAACAATTTGGGAGAAATAATTGAATTATAGCTGATAGTTGTCAAATATGAACTACTGGCTGGTATCCATAAAAGCTTGCTAAAGAAGAACTCCGAAGTTTAAATTTTTTGTTTGTCTAATCAAATCTCATCATGGGGTAGATGGTGGAATTGTCCACCCCTTTTGCAAAGTATGCACGTATTACCCTGCTTTCACACAGACGGTTTTTTGCCGTGGCCGTGCACGGCAACCGTGCCGTGTATAATAGTAATACATTGGTTTATATGCAAGCTTTCACACAGCACGGTTTGCTGCCGTAGCCGTGCACGGCTGCCGTCGCAGCACGGCATGGGGACTGCAACGGCACGGCGCCGTGGCCGTGCACGGCAACAGTGAAACAAGCAAGTGTATAGAAGTATTCACACGTGCATATATTTGACTAAACATTATATTACACCCTTTTGTAAATATTTCTACTCGAATTCTTTTGTATCTGTCTTTCTATTATTATTATTCTCTGTGAAAATATTTGGAACAGTGTCTTTATCAAGGTAAAAATCTTACTCCAAGCATCGGTAGAGATTATATAATTAAGAAAAATTTACCTCCTTTCTTAATAATATATCATTGGGGAAGATAATACAAAGGATATATTGAATATGAGCATTTAAATTTTCTCGGATATTTTTGAAGAAACAGAAAGGAAAACCTTTTTCTATTTCTGATAGATTGTTTTCTGATTGATACTCATTTTTTTTTATTTCCCTCTTGATATTAAATAAAGCGTAATCATTGTCGATTAATTGTGATGACTATTACTAATTTTTAAATCTTCTTGCAGTTTTACGCATAATTCATCGAAACTCCTAATGGACATTCGAAAATAATTAAAAAATTTGGAGCTATCCTCTCGTAGCTCATGAAATAATGTTACAAGTTTACCCATCAATGGTCTGTTTTTAAGTAGTGGATGAATCCAAAATCTTATTGTTTTTTGTGTTGATCATTAGTAACAACATGCGTTTTTTTCTTTCGTCCATTTTGGTCATGTATCAAAACAAAACTAAACCGTGAAAAACCGTGTGCAGTGTGAACGCAAAGCAAAGTGAAATTACGGCACGGCACGGCACGGTTGCCGTTAGAAAACCGTCTGTGTGAAAGCAGGGTTAGGTTTACCTCACAGTTCAATATCGCTTATATAATCTATGCGGAAATTCCTCTATAACCACGTCCAACGCTACATGAGATAAGCTCTTTATACATTTTAGATAAAAGTGAGCTTGTACCTCAGTAACTTAATTTTATGGATGACTCCATATTTTTTTAAATGTAAATTACTTTTGCAAAAATTACCTTGTTTATCAGACTCTTATTAGCCATTAGCTATTACTGATAGAAAGAATTGCACTTAATATTAAGACGTGGCAATGGAAATTTATGGCATTCTCATTATTCAGACCAAATCGAAATGTTTTCAAGACATATGCGAATGACAGGCATAGGAACAAACATGAACAAATTTTATTGATCATAGAAAATAACGACATTATTATTCGAGTGTGAAATGAGGGCCCTCAGCAAAAAATGGACAGGGAAGAAATGAAATTCTTCATAGGAGTTATAAGCGAACAGAGAACTGAATACACAGTGCAGACATTACTACAGAAGGACTTCAAGAATGTTTACTCATAAATAACCGAATAATCTAAGTATTAGGTTTAGAATAACTTACATATACGTCCAGGAGAAGTGTTGTCAACAACAAGATTACTTGAAAATATTATGCTTCTTTTCGATACAAAGTACGTACAATCCCGAAATCTGGAAGATAAATAGTGTAGCGACCGCGAGCGTGATTGTGTGCGATCTGGCATACGTATGTGTGAGCGGCATATCGATTCGCCGACTAGCCGCGGGCGCTTTTATTCATGTGCGCCGTATCTGTAGACGTGTGTGTCGTACCTGCGTTCCGGGAAAGCAATTAAACCGTTCAAAGAAAACGAGACTTCTATGGAAGGCTGGAGAACGTTCCCGAAATGAGGCAAGGGAGTATAAAAAGGAAGAGACGATCGCCGAAGTAGAGTAGAAATAAATTGACCGTCGCAGAAGTAAATCAAGAGATAAATTGAAAGTGATAGAAGTGAAATAAATAGAACAGTGAATAGTAATTAGTGTAAATAAATAATTTTTGTCGTTGTGAGTCTTAAAAGTTAATTTGTTAAACCCACGAACATTACAATACTTTTGTCAGTTGGAACTTTGAGAGAGATTTATGTGGGAGTACAACTTAATTACACTTACACAGCTTTGGGGGATTACAATTTATGTTTAGATATTATTTTAACATAAAAACCAAAATGAAAATGAAGTGCTGAAACCCATCTATGAAAAACTTTTAAAAACAAGATCCAACCTCTATTTCATAAGTTAATTTTACATCTTCAAAGAACATGTTAATTATATTATCCAAAGTTTTCAGCATTTTTCGTTCGCAGTTGATACGCTGCGTCTCAATTAACGTTAATGTGTCAGAAGGTTGCGTGAGAAGCAGCGTATCAACTGCATGCGTCTGACGCTTCACAGGAAACACAATCATTTTAGAGGTATTCACATGACTTTAGATCACAGTAGTTATATCTTCCAATGTATATTTTTATAAAACACATTAAGCCTTTTAATCTCTGGGACACACGGGTAAACATTATAAAACTGATAGAGTCTTCCTTTCACAATTAATCCAGTTGAAAAATGCCATTGAGTATAGTTGGGAAGTTCAAAATTGGCTTAATCCTAGTTACTAACTAGACTAAAGCGGTTGCTAACAGAACGCCTACTTTTACTCACGACAGGCGTTGTAAGGAATATCGTAAACATAGAAAAGAGATGTCAGGTAAGAATTGCAGCGAACACTAATAATAAAAAGGAAAGAAAAATATGCATCGGTCTTTAAATAAAATTCAACATTCTCGGGAATTTAGGGAAGTAAAGACGCTTGTTTAAAGACGTATTTCCAACCAGGCAGTTATTAAGCCGATCCTGGTCTTTTGAGTACCTAAGCAATCTCTAACCTCTGCACCTGTTACTATTATTTATTCGGTTATCTCTCTTCACATTGTCTGTACTGCTCATGAAGCATTTCCTAACTCAACAAAACGCAGAAAATGACTACAATCATAAGTGGAAACAAGAAGAAAGATACGTCTATTCTCGCAGATAATTTATTAAAGATTTTGCCAATTTTGTTCGTACCAACTATATGAAGTGTAAGTTACAGGTGGTTGCCGTGCTGTTCCAGACATTGCTATAAATTGCCGTGTTGGCCTTATTCTATTTTAACGTTAGTAGACGGCTTTGTACTCCAACAACAATAGTTCGTTTTGATGTTTACGTATTTTCCAGGATAACCCCAACAATAGTTTCAAAAGTATTCCAGAAGGGCTGTGGTGGGCTATAGTGACTATGACAACAGTCGGTTACGGAGACATGGCCCCTAAAACTTATGCGGGAATGTTCGTAGGAGCGCTTTGTGCTCTTGCGGGAGTCTTGACAATCGCCCTACCCGTTCCAGTAATTGTTTCCAACTTTTCCATGTTCTATTCACATACTCAGGTAAGTAACCCTAGATAAAATTGTGAAGACTAGTGAATATTTACTGAAAATTAGCAAAAATCCACACCCATGGACGACAGCCTCTTGATGCAATTCCTGGAAGACGCAGTTGGTAAAGGTCTAGATGATGGCCCTGTGGTGGGGTGGGGGGGATCGAAAGAGGAGGTCTCCCCCACCACTGTACCATAAAAAGTTCGTGGCGGTCTCACCCCCATAAAAAGTTATGGGGGTTCAAAGTTAATAAATATGCCAATTTTTATATATTTCTAGGCATGTAAATATTTATATAGTCATTCTTAAACAATATTCAAAGGTAAAACTAATGAAAAANGCAGCGAACACTAATAATAAAAAGGAAAGAAAAATATGCATCGGTCTTTAAATAAAATTCAACATTCTCGGGAATTTAGGGAAGTAAAGACGCTTGTTTAAAGACGTATTTCCAACCAGGCAGTTATTAAGCCGATCCTGGTCTTTTGAGTACCTAAGCAATCTCTAACCTCTGCACCTGTTACTATTATTTATTCGGTTATCTCTCTTCACATTGTCTGTACTGCTCATGAAGCATTTCCTAACTCAACAAAACGCAGAAAATGACTACAATCATAAGTGGAAACAAGAAGAAAGATACGTCTATTCTCGCAGATAATTTATTAAAGATTTTGCCAATTTTGTTCGTACCAACTATATGAAGTGTAAGTTACAGGTGGTTGCCGTGCTGTTCCAGACATTGCTATAAATTGCCGTGTTGGCCTTATTCTATTTTAACGTTAGTAGACGGCTTTGTACTCCAACAACAATAGTTCGTTTTGATGTTTACGTATTTTCCAGGATAACCCCAACAATAGTTTCAAAAGTATTCCAGAAGGGCTGTGGTGGGCTATAGTGACTATGACAACAGTCGGTTACGGAGACATGGCCCCTAAAACTTATGCGGGAATGTTCGTAGGAGCGCTTTGTGCTCTTGCGGGAGTCTTGACAATCGCCCTACCCGTTCCAGTAATTGTTTCCAACTTTTCCATGTTCTATTCACATACTCAGGTAAGTAACCCTAGATAAAATTGTGAAGACTAGTGAATATTTACTGAAAATTAGCAAAAATCCACACCCATGGACGACAGCCTCTTGATGCAATTCCTGGAAGACGCAGTTGGTAAAGGTCTAGATGATGGCCCTGTGGTGGGGTGGGGGGGATCGAAAGAGGAGGTCTCCCCCACCACTGTACCATAAAAAGTTCGTGGCGGTCTCACCCCCATAAAAAGTTATGGGGGTTCAAAGTTAATAAATATGCCAATTTTTATATATTTCTAGGCATGTAAATATTTATATAGTCATTCTTAAACAATATTCAAAGGTAAAACTAATGAAAAATACATAAAAATATTGAGAAAGTTATATAAAACATTATTTAAATATCTTTATCAATAGGGTAGGTTAGGTTAGGTTATCGGGTTTTGTTCAAGTGACCACCCTCTTTCGATCCCCCACCTCCACCCGCTTGAAAATAATGATTTTATTGAATTTTATTTGAATTATAGTGTATGAAAGTTGTTAAAATAATGAACTTTCAACCCCCACAACTTTTTATGGGGGTGAGACCGCCGCAAATTTTTTATGGGGTTTTACACAGATGACAACCCTCTTTCGCTCACCTCTACCCCACCCCCGAGGGGTTGGGGGGCCATCATCTAGACCTTTACCGACGCAGTTTAATTTTATGCAGTTTAATTTTAAGAAACATATTCACTAAAACTCCACTGATTGTACTAGGTTTGCATTTGCAAAGACAATAAAACTCAAAAAAGACGTTATCTTTTGACAAAAACTTATTGATAACGCTTTGTATATCACTCTTCTAAAGTATGTCTACTTAACGGTTGAGGAAGATGTTAGCAATTCTGTTGGCATATGTTCCGGTAAATTGAATTTCATCATCAATTTATCTCCGTTTTGGGTAGGACATTTTATTCCGTCAGTAACGAAAAAGGGTAAGATTATTTATTTATTTTACTGATATCTATTGCAACACAACGTGACCTGCTTACGAACTATTAAGGGAATTTACCTTTTTGACTTACTTTATCCAAGGAAAACGATCCAAGTCAAACAAAGTGGTGTAGTATACAGGGTGAGCTATTTATCTTAATGCAACGAAATTTTTTGACTGAATATGATCATTTTAGGAGATGGTTTAAAAAAATCATACGCATTCGATGTCATTTGCAGGTCGTTATTTTTTAAATAGAATTACTTATTATTCACCTCAGTATAGGAAATAGCAGGAAATTTTTAAATCGGAAATTCCTTTGAAGATGATTTATTCTTAAATTGTTTACTTTTCTCATTGCTGGGGTCAAAAATATACATTCCTATTGAGAAACTTACTTGACCTTCAAAAGTAAATGTCAAGATCATTCAAGGTCACGAGTTGATTTCCGCTCCAAATGCATACAACATCTTTGTTGAAAACTTCCTCCAAAATAATGATATTCAATCAATCTACAGTCTATTTCAATTTGTTAGAATTGTGACCTTGAAGAAATCTGCGCGAAAATAGAAAGAATACACACTAGGTGTGAGCAAGACAGAAATAGTTGGATCAAACTTGAACGAGCAGAGCTCTCGATGGGCTAGAACTGTACAGTACTAGACGAAAATGTTTAGCAATTTCTTAAAACAAAAATGTATATAAATTAACAATAGAAAACAAAGCAAAAGTTTTATAGGTGTGTAGAACTTTAAGTTAATTCACTTGTTATTATTTTTGGCTAAATATGCTTTTAAATAAAGCGTATTCTTAAATTTTAACGAGGCAGTTTAAATAATTTTGCAAATGGTACTATACACTTTTATCTAGTTCTCGCTCGTTGATCGGTGGAGAAATAAGCTCCGCAGACAAATATGATTGAATTTGGAATTATGATACGGCGCATCCTAATAAAGGGAAGGGGCTAATCTCAAACTTCTTGAAACGAACAGTAGATGTTTCATTATTTCAAGATAAATGATTCACCCTGTATACGAATAGTATCTATAGGTAAAAGAAAACCCGGAACGTTAGAATTTTAAATTACGTTTTGCTTACAAGATTACGTAATGAGACTATTATCCTCTTCTTTATAATTTTACACCTGAAAGGGAAACTTTTCTCTCTCTCCCTTTTCAGGTGTAAAATTATAACGAACATGATGAAAATTTCCGCTGTTCTCCTAATTAAATGCTTTAATACCTACGAGTTATAAATAAAATAATTACATCCACCAAGTTTGTTTGATGAGAAGGAAAATCCAATATTATTTCCCTTTTAACTTCGTTTAGTGTTTCAGTAGTGACTCCGTAAAATTAAACTGGGTGTCTACTATGAAAAGCATTAGAATATATTCACTAATCTTTAATGTTATACTAACATCATTGCAAATTAGTGCAATGAACTGGATAAAATAGCTGAAATATCAGAACTGTAATGACAAAACCTAGAACAGTGAAATAATTCGATCACTGCTTTTTCAGTTAAATACTGATAAGATATTAATGTGAAAATTTCGTTTAACTTTTATGCACTACAAATTGCCTCAAATTCACGAGGAAATTGTTACTGCTGTCAGACTCTCGCCGGGATTCGAACCCCGAATCTTGGGCTATACGCACTAAAGCTCTGACCAATAAGCTACGAATGGTGACACTAGCAACAACAACGAAACGTACTTATGAGGACACACTAATGTAAAAATATTAATATCATTTGAAATATTACTATTATGAAACTTTTAATAGCGATTAGTGCATTGGTGCGTAAAGCCAAAGGTCCTGCGTTCGGTTCGCGGCGAGGGTGTGACAGCAACAAAAATTTTTTTCATTAATTTGAGGTAATTTGTTGTGGATAAAATGTCAATAAACTTTCACATTAATATTGAACATTAACTACTATTAAATGCTTCATAAAGTACTTATTGTAAAGAGCAACTGGTGCTTCAGCAACTTTTTATTTAACCGGTAGGATAGTCAATTTTTCGCTGTTTAGAGAGCATGAAGTTAACGTTACCATATTTTCTTAATATTACATCATTTTCGTCTATTCTATAATATGAGGTCGTTTGGATTGAAACTTCAACTTTAAAAGTTCCGATATTACCCAGAAAATCCGTCCTCATGTAGTTTTAATTAAAAATAAGTAAATTTAAACAGCGTATAAAGTCAAACATGTTTGTATCCTCTTTGATATTCGTTAGATGCATTTAGAAATTTGTAACTTAACGAAAACTGAAACATAGTCAACCGAAAGTATTACGCTTACATAAATTTTTGTTAAGAACACGCAAATAAAACTAGTAATTGATCGGTTCGAGCAGTATCCAGAAAATACATTATCGGATTTTCAACAAATTTATTCTAAGCTTATTGATTTTATTAGGATGTATGTTGATGATGTGTTAGTGACAATATAGTTGGGTAGATGGGTATCTTTATGGTAAAAGTTTTGACATTTTCATCAAATCTCAAACTGTATTTACAATAAGACGCATCCTATGAAAGATTTTGGATGTTTGTTGTACAGATTTATGATTAGTTGCGGAGTGAGTTGGGATACCTAAAGCTTGTTAACGGCCTCTTGATATCCTCGGACACGAAAACAAGAAAACTTTAAAAGGTCAGCTAGTTACGACAGCTGTTCGAAAACTTTCTAAACAGGATAAGGATATTAGATATCTCATCTTCTTTACATTAAATTTGACAATTTTTGTAATTGAGCATATTTATAATGAGAAAGCGTATTGCTACAATTCATTAAGTGAATGACTTAATCAACTTTTCCTAATTTGTAGTAGAGGAATGTCGCATAATTTTAGATATTTATCTTTTAACTGTGGTATTTTAGAGACCATTAACATTTTTTTTATAATAAATCCACAAAACGAAAAGTTACAAAAGGAAAGATAGTTATTGCAGAAAACTATTATTTTTCCGTCAGTAACGAAAAAGGGTAAGATTATTTATTTATT